AATTACTAAATTTCCTCTAATACAAACTTCTTCTTGTCTTTTTCTATATGGCGGCGAGAGGTGAAGCCGATGAACGGTTTCTGGTCTCCGGTGGTACTTCCGGCCGCCTTTTGGTTTCCGTGTCGAGGTGACTTCGGTTGTTGTAGATATCCTCAGTTCTCCGTCCAGTTGCGGTGACCAAAAACAGCGTTTCTGATGTATAAAATTCCAGCATGACCAGTAAACGTTCGTTCCGTTTCCGGCATCATCCCGGTGCAGTTACTTGTGGCGCACCATCAGCCGAATCAACCAATTAAAGGAGAACTATGGGGTCAGGGCTTTTCCCCATAGTTCTCCTTAGGGTAACGGGAGGACACAAACTAGCGTCCTCCCAACTGAGCCGACCTGTGACAGTCTCATTGTCACACGTCGCCCCGAACTATGAGATGAGGGAAAAGCACCCCCCCTTATAGTTCTCCTTTAATTATGATTGGCTGCAAAATATTGTTCATGAAGTAACATCCATAAAGGATCATGTGAGCAATGGTACCGGTGCTGCGTCATCATCATCCTGAGGTTACCGAATAGAGTATCCAAAGCCAAAACCTTTTATTTAGTTTTTGGATGGAACGGGTAAGAGTTGCAACCACTGGCAGGTTTTCAACCTTTGGGGGAAGGGATAGGTAGTGGCCTATTTGTATTACTATCAGGGCCGGATTTCCCACAAGGCCAACCAAGGCCTGGACATGGGGCAGCAGGGAGTAGAGGGGCGGCAGGGGTGTGGAATTCCTATCTCCCGATGTCCGGGACATGCAGTTCTGGGTGCCGGGCGGGTAGTTGTCTTCTACCTTTAGCCCGGCTTTGGGCAAGCAGAGCTAAATGTACAGCGGGGAAGCCGCCGCTTGTTTTGTACACGTGATCCCGGCGATGTCACCGAGATCACATGTAATCAGCCTCTCTCAATGGGCTTTGAAGCCCCAGATGGACCCGCGCTGCTTCAAATTAGCACTAATGACGAGAAACTTTTTCTTTCTTCCTCGCAAAAGTTCGCAAAGCGGACGGACTGAATAACCGGGTGACGCGGTTCCCATAGTCTGACAGTTCATTACGACGGGCTCGGTTATTTTTAACCCGCTTCCTGCCGGGGGGGATGTTGTGGGGAATCCCGACGCGGGGAGCCGGGCCCCCGAAAGAAAGGACGACCCGGGGAACAATATCTGCTTCTCGGGCCCCCGTCCGCTTCACGGGTTATCGTTAGTCCGCTTGCTGGTGCTTATCCTGGTTACCCAGAATCCTCCTGGGTGATGCGACCGCTAAGGCCTGACATGAGTCTGATGGTGGTGCGCAAAAGGGCATGCTGGGCTTTCTGATTATTTCGCCCTCAGGGGGCGGGGCCCTCCTTACCATCTTGTCTTGAATCGTATTGTGATTGTAATGTCTTCCTTATATTGTACAGCGCTGCGCACACTGTTGGCGCTATATAAATCCTGTATAATAATAATATAGTCATAGATATATGTCAGCGTATTAACACCTGCGTCCCTCTCTCCTTTCTTCTCTAGCCGGCAGCCGAGTCAGCCATGAACTCCGGTACACCAAGGACAAGCTGGGCGAGGAATCCATCTACACGTCACAAATGCTGATCCAGACCCCGAAGAAGGAGGGGGAGAACATACTGACTCAGGAATCCATGCTCATCCACCTGAACGCGGCTCTGGCGGCCAGCAAAGTGCAGGTCTCCATGTATGGAAAGTAAGTCGGAGCGTTGGTGGGATTTTGGGGGGCACACAGACGTCCCTTTCTGCTCT